TTGTTTGGTTTGGTGTGTGTGGTGTGTTGTTTGGTTTGGTGTGTGTGGTGTGTTGTTTGGTTTGGTGTATGTGGTGTGTTGTATGGTTTGGTGTGTTGTTTGGTTTGGTGTGTGTGTGTGGTGTGTTGTTTGGTTTTTTGTGTTGTGTGGTGTGTGTGGTGTGGTGTGGTATGTGTGGTATGTGTTGTGTGTGTTGTGTGTTGTGCGTGTTGTGTGTTGTGCGTGTTGTGTGTTGTGCGTGTTGTGTGTTGGGCGTGTTGTGTGTTGTGCGTGTTGTGTGGTGTGCGTGTTGTGTGGTGTGCGTGTTGTGTGGTGTGCGTGTTGTGTGGTGTGGTGTGGTGTGGTGTGGTGTGTGTGGGCACACGTGGTGTAGTGTGGGAGAAAAATTAACGTAGATGATAATGATGGAAGAAAGGAATTCTTTTTAAATTTTAAATGTAAGGACTCTTAACCATTAGATTTACTTTGTTCTTAATGCCTTATTTTTAAACTAAAACAGATGTAGGCAATGGAAGTTTGTAAATGTAAATTTAAATTTTTTGAATTTCTTTTCTGAAGGAGTATTAAGAACTCATAACTTTGTGTATGAGATTGATTAACTGTATTAATAAAAAAAAACAAATTGTTCATTCAGATCTGCACTAGTAAGACACCACCCAAAGGACAGAAAAATATTAGAAATATAGTCCTTTTACAACAGCAGTGAATCCATGGGCAGACGTACTTGAAAGTGTTTGAAAACATAACGAGGAAAATGCTACACAAGAAACACAGGATGGGACATGGAATTGGGATATTGTGCCCTACCTGCAGGGAGAGGGGCCTCTGAGGGCGCGAGGCCGAGGGCTCTACTGCAGCACTCGAGTCCTTGTTCTGTGACTCCGGCTCCGCGCCCTTAGCGAGCGAGCCCTTGCCCTGCGGAGACAGGCAGTTAGCATCAGCGCCTCCTCCATATTCTCTTCTCTTGTACTCTCCCACTTTCTCACTTTTTGTTTTTCAATCTGCACTGAGTCTGTGCGGAGCTTTGAGGAAACCCAGTGAGAAGGCATTACGAAGGGACAAGTGATGGATGGGCACCTTTCATGAATTATAGTGAAAGTGCTAGTTTATCTACAGCTCATCTACATTTGTTTGAACATTTAAACTACAGGGAAAACATTTTCTTCTCTACAAATAAAAAACATACTGGAATTTTTATGAACTTGAATTATAAACCATTATTATCAAACTATACAACAATCTATTTTAAATGTCTATGGTTGCAAGATAAAAGTTCTTAAGTCAAGCTTTGGTCATATTGAAGTTAACTTTTATTCAAGTATAACAACTAAAGTCAAAAGTTGCTTTCTTAATGGGGAAAGAAAAAAGGAGGAAAGGAAAAGGGAGAAAAAGAACAAGAAGAAAGATGATCAGGACTAAAAACAAAACACATAATGAGAGTGAGTTGGAAGACGTAGAGGGGAAGAAGAAGAGGAGGAGGAGAAAGGAGGAGTAGAGTTGTGAAAATTTGACTTTCTTTTGTTCTTTTCCAATGGTTCAATAAATCAATAATTATCAAAGGAATTACTGCAAAAGAAGTTCATATTTATCCTGGTTAATTTTCAATTTGAATGTGCTAAGTAAAGGTGTGATTGTTATTGGTATCAATTTGATGCAGAAAAAGTATAGCAAGCTAAATGATCATGGTATTATCATACACAAACTCAATTTCAGCACTTACCACAATACAACTGCGAAGGAGAGAGAGAGGAGGAGGAAAGATAGAGAGAGGAGGAGGAAAGATAGAGAGAGGAGGAGGAAAGAGAGAGAGAGGAGGAGGAAAGAGAGAGAGAGGAGGAGGAAAGAGAGAGAGAGGAGGAAAGAGAGAGGAGGAGGAGGAAAGAGATAGGGAGGACAGAGAGAGAGAGGGGGAGGGCAGAGATAGGGAGGACAGAGAGAGAGGGGGAGGACAGAGAGAGGGAGGACAGAGAGAGGGAGGACAGAGAGAGAGAGGACAGAGAGAGGGGAGAGGACAGAGAGAGAGGGGGGAGGACAGAGAGAGGGGGGAGGACAGAGAGAAAGGGGAGGACAGAGAGAGGGGGAGGAGGACAGAGATAGGAGGAAGGGGGAGATTTACACTATGAAAACAAAAAAGTTTTCCTACAATAGAGTAATTACAATAATTAATATTTTAAATAACTTTTTCTGAATCATGTTAAGAAAGTAAAGATACAAAATAAACAAGATAATACAGAAAAAGTACAATCAAAGTCGGTTTTTGGATAATATGAATGGGTGAAATCTACAATTGTATGACTTATATAAATTCTGAGAAAAATGTGTTTATATTAGGCTATATTTCAGTACTAATGCAATTTCATGGGTTTAATGAATATTTGATATGCTGTGGTTTTAATTATGGTACAAAGCACCATGGTTTTATAGTGATTCGAATTAAAAACAGTATTCTCGGAATCTATAAAATGTCACTTATACCGTTCCAGTTTGCACCCATTCTTGTAATAGGTCATATGTACATATTTACTACTAAGCTACTATTCATCAAAAATGGCTGATGAATACAATTTATTTTCTTTGAACTAAGATTTATGACAAAAGAACTTTTACAATGTGACCATAGATTCATAATAACACTCAAAACTGATTTAAAGGACTAAGATCAAACTTAAACATGGTAACTAGGTTTCCCAAAAAAAGGATCGGAAAAGCAAATATAATCTTATATTTCATACCCTAAAGGGGAAAAATAATTGATGTTAATGTATTAACAAATAGGCACAAAACAATAGGCATAAAATTGATGTCTTAATAGGATAAATAGGATTAAGTGTATAATTCTTGTTTTCCCATGTTTATTGATATTTATTTTAAATCAGAACTTGAATTTTGAAAAAAAGAAAATTCTACTTAAAGTATATAATTTTTGTTTTTAAATAGTATTTATAAACAAATGTTTAAAAAAAGTACAGAAACCACATGAACAACATAATACCAAAAAAATCACAATTAAAGTAAGGTTTTGGGTAGGACAATAGATTGTACTTATTTTTTAATTTTATGCATTGCATTTCAACATATCGCATTACCTGTGGATTCTAAATTATCTTATACTGCTCTTATAGTAAATTTACTTAATAAAATTTTGGATAAGGTTTGAACCTTTAAAAATCTATTAAAAGACCACACCCATTATTCTTTGTCATCAGTTCATTAATAAAGTTATAATAGATAAGTTGTTAGATATGAATTGAAGCATCCACCATTACTCATTATATCAAAAATGCTTCCCTCCCATTTATTCTTATGTGCACATGTGCAAGAAAGTTAAAGGAAGGTCATACACCTTTACTGATACAAAACAGGACCCACACACAAACTCAGTGCAGACCTGTTCCAGTCATGCACTCAACAGCCACGCAAGAACCACATGCCCCGTGAATTATTTTATTTACATGTGCAGTATACCAAAACGCCCAAGATCTTAATCTGTAGGAAAAACAAAATAAAATTAACATAATAAAAACACTGTACAGCCATAAAACAAATGAATCATTACAAACATCTTTTACAGTGCAGAAATATATATAAACAAAAACTATTAAAATCAATTCATGAATAGAAATATATTTATTGAGAATCATCTTCAGTTTCAGCATTTCAAGCAAATTCTAGCAAAAAAGTTTTTGAAATGTCTGAACTGTCTGTTTCTCTACTTGGAATGTTCGATGATCTATTAGCATATAAAAAAATTAATGCAAGTGAAAACATAAACAAATCGACAAAAATGGCAATTAAAAAAAAAGGGCGAAGGGGGACATCTACTCACTTGATAAATAATAATTTTGAAGCCATGATTTCCAAATAAAGCTCTAACAACCACAACAACAGTAGCAGCAATACAAAACCTTACAAAAACAGAATAGAACAGTTTAGAATAAACTGTTTTATTCATATTCTGAATAGCAAATATGATTATTAATTAAAAAACTAAACACATTCAGTGAACAAATAAGAACTCAAAAATTATTTCAACTAAAACCATTTGAAGCAATTCAGTAATAGAAGCTGATCTCCAAAAGCACTTAATATTCAAAATGCTAAACAGCAGTAGCTGGGATGATTTTACATTATATCAGCCTCAACTGCCACAAAACATCTGAAAAGTCTTTGACTTCAGTTCTGTTACATCTATCTACATAAGTTCTACAAAAAAGAAAACAATGACTTACAGAAAAATCTAGAGATGAATCTCCTGAAGAGCTTTAAGTATTTAAGTACTTACTTTGGTAACAGCCTGGAGAAAAGCAGCTTTGCCTACTTTCTGGCGTTGCTTGTTCATTACCACTTCCATTCGACGCTTTTCACTTTCAATGCGCCGGCGTTTCTCTTCTAATTTCATTCGAATGTTATGGAGTTGTGATGCCATCACGTGACTGGAACCATCATCTAAGAAAGCAAAACAATATTTTTCCTTTATTTAGAATTACCTATGCTTTGCCTCTTTTTTCCACACCTTATCCTCCACACATTGTCAGCTATGTTCTCATAGTCGTTTTAAATGCAAAGTATCCATTTAAAGAGACCCAATAATGAGCTGATCATTTACTAGACTTATAAAAATAAATATTTATTAACAAAGTATTGTAATAGAAGTTTAGAGGGTCACAAATACTTAGATTATAATGTAGACAATGCCGTTTGCAGTGAACTTACAGTTTGTTATAAAAAGAAGGTTTTTTTTAGCCACAATTGTTCAATTTTTACAAAATCCCCAGAACTATGTCATATATGATAATGTTTCTACAATAAAATTGTATTGGTTGACGAGAAGATCTGTGTTGATAATTAATTCAAAAGGAAGGGAATTTTATAAATGCAAATTAATTTTTGGCTTTTGCAAGTGTGAAGAACATTATTTTCACCAGTGGAGTTGAATGTTAGAATGCCTTTGCCCTGAAGAAGGAAAATATATTTCCAAAATGTCAGCAAGCTACAACTTTTTTTTAATAAAAACACACACACATACACACACACCACCACAACAACAACAAATAATTAGGGGAAAACCTTACAATTACTGTGGTCGTTACAAATAATTAAACCTGAACAATTGATTGGATGCCTAAGAAATATACCACTTGAATATAAGGTGATTTCTTTGGATTTATGATTATACCCATAAAGAAATTTACTGATGTTCATAAATTTATTTACCACTATCCTGTTGAGACTCAGCCTGATGCATCATTTGACTATTTGAACTCTGCTGCTGCCACGTTGTTGTGTTATTAGGAAGTGCTGCAAAAGTTGTCTTTTTTTCAGCATTACCATTCGTACTTCCTCCAGTACCATTGACTTTCTTGTTGAGGAAGCTGGATTTTGGGGGGGCTCCACCGTTGTTTGCTCCGGTTCCATCACTTTCACGTTCTTGCTGCATGTAACTAATATTGATGCTCTTGTTTGCATCTGCCTTTACGCGAGATAGTTCTGCAAAACTAGTAGCTGTAGGAGTTGGTTCTGCTGGTTCTCGAGGAGGGTAATGTGCTGCAGTTGTAGTCGTTGGTTTTTCTTCATCCCTTTTCTCACCAGAATAATACCTGCAATATTGAACAAAACTTGATAACTTGTCAATGGCAGGATACATTCAATTAACATACTTTCTTATTCAATTCAGATACAGGACTAGGTTTTTGGGTAGCATTCCAAAGAACATCCAATATTACATTTTTTATTACTCCTGTGTCAGTAAATCGGAAGACACAAAGACCAAAAAGAAATGATATGTAAGAAAATTATGCTTTAAGTAAGGTAGTCCAAAGCATCACCGAGTCCAAACCCACATTAATCCAAGACAAAAGAATTCCAGAAGATACCACCAAATCAATAAATAATGTAGTCAACAGATTATGAATTTTAAAACGGCGTGCATGATTCTCAGAGCATTTTTATTTTTCTGTCAAATAAAGAACTGTAGAACACTTCTGGTAAAAGGTGTGGATAAAACAATTAACAGGATGCATAAAATTTCAGAAAAACTTGTGCAAATTGCTCAGGAGAAAAAGCTTGTGATTATCCAAACTGCTATGCTAATAATTTTATTTGATGTATTTTATTTTTGATTTGGTTTCTTTGATTAAACTGTAACATAGGTAGATGTTAAAAATTAATTCTTTCACAAATGGTCACAGGATTTGCTTCTTTGAAAGTATAGACTGCTCATGCATAGAATTGCAATGAATGATCAGAGTAAAGTTAATACATTTTTTTTAACAAAAATATAGGACACCTTCCCTTTTCCTAAAGGGCATTTTCACAACAGACATGTCAAGAAATAAGTAATATTTTTTTTACTTAATATTTTTATAATAACTGGTCAACAGTGTTATATAGAGCGGGAGAGAGCGGTTCGTGAGAGCGGAGCTGAGCGGGAGAGAGGATAATGAGCAATCATTTGTCACCAATGTTATCATTTGGACAATACAGGGTCTTAAAGGAACTCGCATTTTTAATGTACAAACGTGAGAAACATAAAAGTAAAAGGCATATCTGAAATAATTTAGCATGGAAAGAGTAGAAATTCATCCAGGACTTACAAAAAACAATGTATAAACATAAAAAAATGTATAAATGAAATGTACAAAAGGAGCTCCACCATTAATCTTTTTTGCAAGCCTGAAGGAGGGGACCAACAATGTATCTCCCTGAAACTTTGCCAAATCAATTATTTTAGAACTGACTGTTTTTTAAATAAGAAGAAAAAGAAGAAGGGAGGGGAAAAAAATATTTATTTTTTTTCAATTTGTCTTTCTTTAAACTTCCTGGCCATGTGTTTTGAGAGAAACTACAAGAAATAATAATATTTTTTATGTTTTAAAAGTAATATTAAGAATGAAAATTAATTTCTGAGAGGTCATTCACAATTTTACAAGTAATATTAACGATTTGAAAAATAGCCTTTCCAGGTGTCGTCGCATGATAAGCTTGACGACGACAACTTCCCTTTAACAGCCCTTGCAGCAGCTTGCTTTGGGGTGAGGTGGCCTTCACAGCACCAAACCCCTCTCCTAGTCTAACTCTTAGCAGATGGCAGCAGAACCAGGTGCCACGCTCATGTGATACTAAGCACTAGTGCAGTACAAACCACCAATTCCAGATGTTTTGCAAGGTAACAACAGACAATTTTTAGGAATTTTCAAGACAATACTTCCACTGTTTATGAGCCAATTTTTTGAAATTATGAATATACACCTTCATTTGTGAATCCTTACAGGTTAAAATTAAAAGAAAGAAGCAAGGGAAAGAAGGGGGCAGGATTCCACATGTCGCCTTTGATCAGCGAAATCATCCTTTGTAAGTGAACAAATGACTCTGGATATTTTCACAAACTATACAAGAAAGTAAAAAGTATTGTCATTCTCGCAAAACAAATCTTTTGTAATTAAGGTATGCGAATGATATTGAAACCGACAGCCTCCTCTGATCATAAGAAAAAGAAGTGTTAATCTGTTTTGTATGCATCAAGAAACACTTGAAGTTAATTCTTATATAACTTGAAACAAGATAATAAACGTATAATATTCTCTTTTTTTTAAATTGCAATTTCTCCAAATTTTCAAGGGAAGTGGAAAAGCAATACATCAGGAATAAGTTTCTTTATTTTCAATAATTTAAATGAAATTTCAATTTGTCAACATTAATCAACTTTGACTTTCAACCTAGTTTAATTTTTTGATGAGCTCTACCCCTTTTGAGGTTGAAGGGATTTTTACCATCAATGGCCCAGTGAGTACTCAATGATTTTCCAGATACTTCTCACCACTTAAATATTCATTTTGTTTTCGTATATTTCATACCCGTTATCTGCACTGCCACTGAAGAGCATTTCAACACCACAGCTCCGAGCATCTTGTAGACTTGAACGTACAGCTGTGGCAGGGGAGGGGCTCTCGGGTGCAGAGGTTTTGCGCCCCACATGCACAGCTGGCTCTTTATCTGGATTGCGAGTTAATAGGTGTAAATTTTCTTGAGATCCTCCGAAATTTTCAAGTGTCAGCTACAACAGAAGCCATCAATATCATTCTCAAGCAAATTTTATTTCAATCTTTTTAAACCTAAAGCTAATAAATTATTAAATACAAGAGGTGAAAGCAGTACAAATTCTTGAAGGTTTTGGAACATATGAGCTCAAACACCTTTCCAGTTACACTCATAAGTAGGAAGTCAAAACCTAGAACAAACCTGCGAATCATCCGAAACAGAGTTTCGCCTAGAACGCCGACCTGCATAGGAACTGCGACGCTGCTCCTCCCAGTTGGAAGGCCGACCTGCAGCAACTGGTTCACCACGCTCTTCTGCTTTGCTATCCTGGTTTTGTTTCTCTTTTGCTGGCCGTAATCTTGCAGGAATCAAGGGCTCATCTGAGGACTGGGCTACAGATGCTAATGTAGGCACAGCACGACCCCGGTGCACCACGAACGCTTCTTCACCTCCACCACGCCTAAAAAATAAGCTATCAAGATTCATCCTTGGAACTACTTTGAAGACTAATAAATGTATTTATTTTTGTACAGTTTGTAAAATTTTAGGGCATCTTCAAACTTCTGAAGAATTTATATAAAAGAGAAATGTTTTTGGATTTGATTATTTACCAACTTCAGGTTACACTACACCTTGATTGATGAATGCCTTGTCCGAAAACCCAAAACCGTTTCCTCTGCCTTGACCTGACCAGACCTTTCAAATTTCGTACACTCCCTCAACTTTTGTAAGTAATATAGATCTAACAATTTTATCTTTTGGACTTTCTGAACAACTGCATTTGAGACAAAAGGCAAGTCATGTTCTACTGACCTGTCATCTTGTGACGTGCTATCACCACCTTTTCCATGTATATCAGCTGGTTGTAAGGAGTGGGACTTCTTCAAAGGCATGGACGTTTGAATGGTTGGAGCAGATTTTGACACTGCAAGTCAAATACAAATATTAGGAGAAAGTCATATTCCCATTTGGATAGAAATTAGTTTCTTCCATCATTTACCTATCTAAATACTTGCTAATAAGAGCTAATTAACCAACACATAATTAATATACCTGCCAATTTGACTACAACAATTTAAAAAATGCACAGTAGGATGGTTGCAAGAAATCAACTTTTGAAATGTTTTTCATGGGAACCTCTTAAAAGTTGCTAATTAGTTAAAACCCGAGACTTCACAGTTTCAGCTTAATTAGATCATGTTGAGACCTAATCGTTAATCCCAAAGTTTCTTAACAATTTGCAGTTTTTCTCACAACAATCCAGGATTTTCGGAATAAAAAGAGAACACATGGTCCTAAGAATGGATTCTTTTTGTAGTTTTGTTGGTCTTTGATTTTATTTTTCACAACAGATTTGATAAAGAGTCAGTGGAATTTTTGTAGACCAGACAAGAAAATTTGCTGTAAATGTTATCTGGTATTTATAAAACAACAAATTTAAAATATTGTTTAGTTATTTACCACAAAATAGTTTCATAAAAATGCTTTTCAATTATGTCTTTGCAACCAGATAAGTGAAAACAAAAGGGGATAAAAAAATATTGACATATAACTAATTTAAAACATTTAATTTAGTTATTACAATTTTCAGAAACAGCAAGACGAGTAGTATCATCAGAATAGTTTTTATGTATAAATTATCACACGATGACTAGGTAGGTGAAACTGGTAAGATTTGTCAGATTTTCACCAGAACCAACAGGGTAGATTTCATTGTGTCAGGACATTCAACTAAAACTTGCAAAACATACAGTTACGGCTCTTCATTTTTTGTTATATTCAATGTGTAGTCTTCAATTCACTTGTTCACATCCCTGAAATGTTTGACAACTCCCTGTCCCTTCAAAAAAGCATAGGTCTTCACATGAAACTTACAGATTGGAATGTAAGAAGGGAATTGACCGAATTAAAGAATTTTAATGTGGAGTTGTGAAGTAATTTACTTCTTTGTATAATAAAAAATGAGCTGCTTTCAAAGAGTCTTTGGCTAAAAGAGCTCCTCCTCCTCCATGATGATGATGATGATGATGATGATGATGATGATAAGAAGCTAGAAAGCTTGTAAAGAAATGACAGTAACCAATCCAAAGGCATGTCACAATTATCTTTTTGCGTCTTGACTCATGAGATGAGGGCCAAGGTTTACGGAATCCTTGATTTTCATGAGTTTAAAAACTGAGTTCTGCCACTCTGTTTGCCATGCGCTGAGAATACATTTGATTAACAGCTTGGTATTATTTGTTGGGACTGTGAGGATGTCCACCTCAGTTTTCTTTGTGGCAAGCTTTGCTGCCTGGTCAGCAATTTCGTTTCTTATTATCTCAACATGACCTGGGATCCAATAAAATCCAAATTATAACAGCGAACCAGTAAATTATGGATTTGGTGATGGGTGATTGTCAGAGGGTCACTAGGAGAGAAGCAGGAGATAGATTTGAGCGCGCTTTTTGAATCACTGCAGATCACAGCTTCATTTCATGTCATCGATTCAGCAAACTTAAGTGCCTCCATGAGCATATATTTTTCTCCAGAATGCACACCCTACATTACCTTTCTGGGAGGAACCATCAGTGTATATGAACGTATAGCCGGGATACATGGATATCATCTCCTGGAATTACGCCAGAAATGTACTGGAGGGAGTTGAGGATTTGGGGAAGTGTGAGGATCTCCGGTCTATTTTAGGCCGGAGACGCTTCCCAGGGGAAACAAGATTTTGAGAGGGTTTCACAGGGATGGGAAGTTTTATATCAAGTTTCTACAAGACCATGTAGACAGACACCCGAAGGATGGGGTAACGATGGTCTGAATTCGTAAGATGTCCTGTGACTTGGGTGAAGAACCGCTTGGCGAGAAGGTGTATTTATAGCTGATACTTTTGCATCGTAGGAGTCGATTACAATAGCACGCCTTTGACTCCAGGATGGTTCATAAGCACTCTGTCTGCACCCCATGATCTACCAGTAAGGGTGCAAAGGTTCATTGGAGATAAACAGCATCTCTTAGTTTTGAATGTGATTTTGCCATGTTAAACTCTTGCTGAATGTTATGTCAAGAAAAGTGGCAGATTCGATGAAGGGAAGTTGATGCCCCCCTCTCCCCAAAAAGATCAGGATGATTATGGAGGTGATATATTCTACAGAAGTGCATGCAACTGGATTTTGAGGTAGAGAACTTGAATCCAGTTTTATCGCTCCATTCTTGCAATTTGTTAAAGATAAGCTGTAACAGCCTCTTAATAACTTGCATGCTCTTCGAGGAGCAGAATATACCTAAGTCAATGAAGAGCGATGCTTTCACAAGCTCTCGAATTACTGATGCGATATATTGATAGCAATGGCAAACAGAGTGGCACTCAGAATTGATCCCTGAGGACCACTGTTTTCTAACTGGTGACTTGAGGATAACGTGTCACCAAGGCGGCCGCAGAAAGATCTTGACGAAAGAAAATGTACTAGAAACGAAGTGAGCAGTCCCCAAAGGCCCCCAAGAATGCAAGGTGCAAAGAATGCTGTACCTCCAGGTGGGATCATACGCATTCTCTATGTCGAAAAAAATTGCCACCGGGTGTTCTTGTAGCACAAAAGAAGTGGAGACTAAGTGGTCCATGGTTAATCTGTGCTTCCTGAAACCACACTGAAAAGGTGTAAATAGATTCCTTTGCTCCATGAGCCACACCAGACGTTTGTTTACTATTCATTCTAAAAAGCTTGCACCCAGAGTTTGTGAGAGAGATTGGGCGGTGACTTGAAGGGATTGTTCTGTTCATTTCCTTCTTTAAGGATTGGAATAACAATGGCTTCACGTCAAATCCTTGGTAAGAAATGTTTATCCCAAATCAAGCTGAAAATGCAAAGGAGAAAACGAGTGTTTTCCGGAAAGTGTTTAAGCATTTGATTATGTATCTGTCTAGTCCTGAAGCAGAATCTTTTGCACAAGTGAGGGCACAGGAAAATTCATCCATGGAGAAAGGAGCATTGTAGTCTTCCTCCACGCGACTCAAGAAATCAAGTCTGCAGTTCACCATTCTTCTTTTGGTTTTTAGAAAGCTAGGAAAGTAGTGTGCAGAGCTGGAGATATGCCCGTAGTGAGAGGCCAATTCTTCAACTATATCTTCTGGTGAGAGATAAGATTTTTATTTAACAGAAGCCCAGAGACAGACGACGGAGAAAGTCTTCCACCGATCTGTCGAACTTTTCGCCACACTACTTTAGGGGGCGTACGGCAAGAATGACGAAATATAGGCTCTCCAGGACGCGTCCTTACATTCCTGTATGGTCAATTGAGCTTGGGCTCGTGATCTTTTATAATTGATCACATTATCCATGGCTGGGAACCTACTAAGCTCTGCCAAAGCCTGTTTCCGATCCCGCACCGCGGTGGCACAGTCGGCATTCCACCATGGCACGGGAGGATGTCGTGGGGGACCCGATGACTTTGGGATGGCAATTGAGGCCACGTGGAGAACGGCTTCAGTAAAATGGGTAACCATAGCATCAATATCGTTTGGGCAGGTTTCCGATATCCGTATTTCTTTTTCGAAAATTTCCCACTCAGTTCGGTGAATTAGCCAACGAGGAGGACGAGCACCGTTTGGGTTGAAATTGGCCAGAACGGGGAAGTGCTCACTGCCATGCAGGTCGCCAAGGACAATCCACTCAATGATGGTAGAGAGAGATGGACTACAGTCCGACTTCGCCTGAGCTGTTTTCTTCGACAATTTATATTTAGATGGAATTATTATCTTCCCGACTTACAGAGGCGATGTCTCCTCAGGGAATCATCATCACCACCACCATTTCCTTGCAAAGACAAAAGTTTTGCTGCGCTGTTCGTTAAGTTATATCAAAAACCCTAAAGCATTTTGCTCTGAGTTCAAAAACAACAATAGACTTCAAAATTTAAACAATTCCACCTTTGAAAAATCGCCATAAATTCTTTTACAATTGATCAAGGTTTTAAATAATTTTAAATCATGTTTGGGTCCAATATAGTCCAACGAGCTAGCCACTAATGGTAGAAATGAGTACCGAAGGTCAAGTCTGTCGACCCACAAATATACATATTTTCTATGACCTGCAACGATTCTATTTCTAAACCAATGCTATTGTAACAAATTGGTCAACAGGAGTCCTGTAATTCATAAAAGTCTTTGGACCTCTGATTAATTTGCAGCTCCGCTTGATACATAAGGGTATTAAAGGATCTCTTGTGAAGTCTTTCTTAAGTATGAACAAATGTGCTCTTGGTAGCATAATTTGGGCAAAGGTCTGAGAAACCAAGGTTCTAACAGATTTATTGCCTCTTGCTCTGCCTCTACTTGTCACACAGGGGCAGTTTACCATGTCAGATCCACAAAAAAATATTGTCTGATTGGCATGTTTGTCGTTGACAACAGTTTCACAATAAGATGTTAGGATGAAAATTGAACTAAACACATTTTCTATAGTGCTAAAAAGAAAACATGATCTTAGGACGTTAAATTAATTATGGTTTGATTACAATAAAAAACTGACTAAAATGACAGTATTTTTATCCCCTCACCTCCATCAAATCAAATTCATCAAGTTCACCTGGTTGCAAACGTATCATTAAAAAGCATTTTGCTTGAACTACTTCATGCCAAATAACTCAAAAAATAGTAGATAATAATTTTTTTAAACACAATTAAGTGAATTTTCACATCTGGTTCATGAAAAAACCCAATTGCAAAAATTACTTCCTTTTTTAAAAAAATCCAATTTTATAAACTTTATTGGCTAACAAAGTAAATCTTAAAATTATTGAATCGAGACAAAACTCTGAGAATCTCACAATAACTCCAATTGGCAACTTTTAATCGGTTCACATTAAAGGAATTTCAGAGGATGATTTCGTGTGACCACCTTAATGCAACAACCATAATACATGCCATAATAAGGATCT